GATGCAAAAGCGAATTTATATGCAAGATTGATATAGGGTAACAAAAATTGTGCCAGAACTCCCATTTTGTCTCTACTCACCGGCATTTTCTTGAACAGAAGCGAATTCGAATTCTAAATTTATAGTATATTGTAACTGTACCGTTTTTCGAAGTGGACCTTGATTATTCTTAATTTCATCCAGTCGTGTTATAACACCATTAATATCAAAATATTGACCCACTTGTTTATAAATTTTACTATGATTATACAATATAAATTAGGAGAAATGAGATATAAAAACGTAATACAAAAAACAAATTATTAGAAAACTGAGTAGTTTACAATTGTTTTGGCTTGTCTGCTTCTACTAATTTTAGACAACCATGATATTTCTCATTTTCATCATGATGGTGTATTGTTATTTCATTCGACTGAAGTCCTAAAATATCTGTAAAAAATTATATTGATTAATTGTATTTTCATTTACAAAACCAATAAAAAAATTTACCATATTTGACTAAAACAAATCCATCATTGGGGGTGGTGCTATCGTTAGTGCTCATTTTTCGTACCTAAATACAAGAAAAATTATAGTAAGTAAAAATTCAGTTTCATACTTTCCGTTAAATAAAATAGCAAATTACTTTAAAAATAAATTACGGGCAAGTGAATCAAGTAAAAAATATATACGAGCAAAAAATAACGTTATTGCTAACTTATCTTATGGGCGGGAGCCTGCTTATTTTTATACTTCACGTTCGTTAGGTCTGAGAACATGCCAGAAGGAAAAATACATTAGTAATTGTGTTACCCAATTCCAACGCCAGTTTTTTCTCTATAAAGCAACTCCGCTTAGTCATAACTTCCAAACACTGAATCTATTTTGTTATTTTTTGGTGAAATTAAACCTCTATAATCTACGATCGCTTAAGGTAGGTTTAGATTTGACGATCTCAGGAGATGGCGGAGATTTGAAGTTCCTGCAACATATAAATTTTGACAAAACTACTGATTAAGAACAATATATGTATTCTCCTTATAGCCTTTTTAAGTCTCTTTTTTTATCACGGGATCTTATGTAAGGTAAGAAAGATTCTAGTCGCTATTCATTATTAGCGCTACTTATTAACTTAATAAAAAATCGACTGTGAGAAATTAAGGTAACACCGCATAAAGTTTAATGCAGGCCATCGATTATTAAAGCCGGTCAAGTTTTTATTGCTATTTTAGCTTTGACCTAGGCCAAAATAAAAGCGAACCTGTGGGACCGTTAAATTGCATTATACAAAGCAAGATAATACGTACTTATTTTTTCTAGCATGGATCATGGCTATAAGGATTTTGATGATAAAAAAAATGTGATGCTAGATGTTTGATTAACATGTTTTGTTATAATAGCATAAATAAAGAAGTGCATGGATATATAGTGTGTAAAATTATTACTATACCCCGTATAACCAAAATATCTGCTAACAATCTAATTCCAAATATAGAAAATGTGCGATTGTTGACCGATTTATCGTGTTTAATAATTGTAGTGCGTAAATATAGAATTATTTGTTTGAAAAGTCATTGTGCTAAAATATCAGTGATGCCAGACATAATTCGTTTCAACTGATGTATACTGGTAAAGATAGGCCATAGTAAAGGTAGAGGATATTCAATTTTAATTTTCGAATTGAGCTTTTTCATCACTTCTTTACTAATCCCTTTACAACCCTTCAAACTAAGATATTTCAAATTGGTACAGTTGCGGGCTATCTCCTCTACAGCTTTAT